CCAACTCCCCCAGGGACCCTCATCTTCAAGGTGGATATTATTTTATTTTTTTGCTATTTTTTAGGTCCCTATTCTTTCATCACTGCTCTGAAGGGGGAGGTGGAAAGGGCTGGTGACCTCCGCCCTCATTTTCGCTCTGGAGGGTCAGACACTGGTCAGCATCACCAACAGTCAGGACACAGCTGGGAGCCGGGAGCCATGGGAGGCCCCAGCCACCGTGGGGGCGGCACTTAGAGCAAAAGGCCTGCAGGGCCCAGCCCCTGTGTCAGGGGTTGAGTGTGGACCTACCTACAAGCCAAGAGCTCACAGTTCCATTCCTGGTCACATGTCCAGGTTGCGGGCTTGATCCCCAGTGGGGGGCGTGCAGGGGCAGCCAATGGATGATTCTCTCTCATCATGGATGTTTCTCTCTCTCTCTCTCTCCCCCTTCCTCTCTTAAATCAACTTAAATCAACAAAACAGATATATTTTTAAAAAAGACTGTCCGCCCAACCTACACTTACTCTTTTTTTCTCCAATCCTCACTCAAAGATGTTTTTTTCCATCGATTTTTTAGAGAGAGAGGAAGGAAGGAGGGAGAAGAGGGGGGAGAGGGAGAAACGTCCACGTGAGAGAGACACATTGACCGAGGTTCATGCCCTTGACCGGGAATCACACCCAAGGCCCTGAGGTCCATAGGCCGATGCTCTGTCCACTGAGCGATCCCCGCCACCCCCTAGGCTGTGTGACCCCCTCAGCTCCCTGTGGGGCAGCTCCTCCCCAGGCTTCTCCTATCTGCCTCGCGGGTGCCCCCTGGTGGTCGGGCAGGCTCACTGCTCAGCCCTGTGACCTGCTGGGGAAGGTCAGGCCACAGGGAGGTGCCCAGGGCTGAGCCCAGCAGTGAATCCACAGCCTCCTGGGCTGCTCCCCGGCTCCTCCCCCCACAGGGTTCCCTGCACCTTCCAGGCCTTGGGCTCCCTTGTGAGGACCCCTGAGAGGCAGAGGGAAGCTGGGGCTCCACTGACTCTGCTGCCTTCTTCCCGGACCACAGAGGGCAGAGGGCCTGGACCTCACCCTGAGGCCACAGTCCCCGCCATGACCAGGGCCCGAGGCCGCCTGGTGACCCTGTGCCCATGGGGGTGGCAGCTGCCGGGGGTCCAGGTGACAGCCCCCTCCCAGGCCCGGGAACAGCGGGCGACCTGGGTGCGGGGTCAGCAGGGCCAGGTCACTCGGCTGCTCATGTGAAAGCCCCGGGCGTGACCTTTATCGGTGGGGCCCGTGCTGACTCAGCACACGGATGTGGACACACAGACAGTGTGCCGTGTGCCGAGGCCACAGCTACACACAACACTTTTTTCTGGCAAATTGATGAAATTGTTTTTATTCGTCCTTAGAAAACTCAGTGATAGGCACAAATTGCATGAATTTTTAAAGGGAAAAACAGAGACTATGGACATGCCGGCTGGCACACTCAGAATAGGCAGTGAGTAAAGCAGACAGAGAGATGTGAGCTGGGAGCCAGCTGGTGTGGCTCAGTGGCTGAGCAGTGACCTAGGAACCAGGAAGTCAGGGTTCAATTCCCAGTCAAGGCACATCCCGGGTTGTGGGTGGATCCCCAGGGTGGGGCCTGCAGGAGGCAACTGGTCAGTGATTCTCTCACAATTTCCTTCCACTTCCCTGATGGCGCTTCTTAATGAATCACGTGTGTGAAACTGATCCCAGTGCTGAGTGTGCCCGTGGGTCAGGGTGGGCCAGGCTCTCACATTTCTATGTTTGTCTGTGTGCGTCTGTACATATACATTCACATATGTACATGTCTACACATGCAACAGTTAAATGTACATACCTATATTAACACACATATAATTCTACATGTATAGTCTGCGTGGGGTTTTTTTACTTATCTTTTTGTTTATTCCTATAATTTTTTAAAATATATTTTTATTGTCTCCAGAGAGGAAAGGAGAGGGAGAGAGATAGAAACATCCATGATGAGAATCATGGATCGGCTGCCTCCTGCGCACCACACACAGGATCAAGCCC